TTGCGGACGATGGAAGCTGTGTCGTCAGTGGAAGCGACCATGGCACGGTGTACATATTTGATCGATGGACTGGCGAGACGGTGGACGAATTAAAGGTTGGAGTGCTTGACTGGGCGCAAACCGTGACAGTAAGTCTGGAAATCCAGTTCCCCATTTCCAGATTTGACGTTGAAGGCAGGCCGCCGAAGTCAACGGTATCACTACGATCATCGCAGCAAGGTCGAGGGAACTAAGTGGGCCAAACGATATCATGCTGTGGAAAAAGACAGGAGGCCGGAAGCGTCAGATTCTCCCGAGCTGCGGGCAGTGCATGATCATTCTCAACCTCTTGCTGGCGCTGGGCTGCCTCGTATTTTTGTACAAAAATGTATTGGGTAGCGCCTAGTGTAGATGTAGTAGACTCCAAATGGACGAGTTTCTTGAAACCATCCCATTGTTTGTTGCCCGCAGCGGTGAAAGAAGATTGAAAACTCGACCGTGATGAACATGGTGGAGCTAGCGACTGAGAAGGCGGAGGCGGCAGCTGTGGCTGTGCCTACCTCGGCTGCTGAGTTGATCGCCGATCGCTAATACACCCACTTGAAAAACTTTGTCCACTTCCCCACTTGCTCCCTCCGGCTTCCATTCAACGAGGTATCCATGGGAAGAGGCACCGACTCCCCTTGCAGGGACTTGGCCAGGATCGTGCTCAATGGATTATGGCAACAGCGCCGAGACCGAGCGTCCACCGTTTTCCCCTCTATTTTGCGAAACTAAATAAACCCTCGAGGTATTGAGGATTATTTTATCGCTAACTTCCCGGGACCTCTTGGTGCTGGGACCGGTTCTGACATCTCGACATCAGTGTCGCTGAAAATAAACTAAGATAAAAACCCTTCATCTGGTAGCAGTTCATCTAATGTACTCAAAAGCCCTAAGCCCATCACCCAGCGCGAATCCTTCAACGCAGCCAATCGCGCAAACTCGATTGGATCCTCCCGTTCCAAGGCCGCCTCCGTCCGAAACCCATTGTCTACGTAGCGAATGAGACCGCCGGGGGTGTATTGAGTAAACGAGATGCGCTTGTCGCCGTCTTGGGCGGGGACATTTGAGTGCGCGATGGTCGCCGAGGGGAGGAGGATCAAGGCGCCCGCAGGAAATTCCACAAGGAGTTTCAGGTCCCAGAGGGCGAGATGCCCGCCTTCGACGGGGTCGAACTCACCCAATGCTTGCACGGCGCACCAGCCGAATGGGACGTTGAGAACGTCGCGGTGGCGGAATGTCCACACACTCGGCCCGAAATTGAAGGCTGCAGATGAGAAGACGGACTTCGCGAAGGGCCGACGGAGGTGGGGGAGGCGTTGGCGGAGGTGGTGTTGGTGGAGGTCCCTGTCGTGGGCGAGGTAATATTGATAAAGACGCGGCGCCCAAAGCGCGAAAGTGGCTCAATTAATAGGTTAGCGCAGGGACAAAGAAAAGATCTGAGTGACGACTCACCACTGGCGAAATGAGCCATGCGACAGACATGCTCGTTAGCGAGCAACCCCTCAGCCATGTCCCCATGGAGGCGATGGTGGAGACGCGAGGGAATCGTTTGGCCCTTGCCGTATGAAAGGCCGACATTAACTACGGCGTAGAGCCCGCGTCGGTGCTTTCGCATCTCACTTGAGAAATTGGCTGCGGCCCCTGCATCGCGGATCGCGCGGTAGGCAGCAGCAACAGAGTCGGCGTAGCGGGCTGCATTCGGCTGTCCCGCAAGTACTGCAAACACGCGGCCTTGTGCGTCGATGAGCGGGCGTGGGTCTCTGAGACAGTATGGGCATGGGAAAAAGGGGGGGGGGAATAAGCACGCACATCCCATTCCACTTCACAACAGTGAACCCCAGCCCCAGAAAATCGGCGACGCTGCGCCGCTTCTTCGAGCCCCAGGCATCCGCGGCCTTAGCGGCGTATCCTCCGTGCGCCGCGGGGAGTTTTTCGGTGTTGAGAGATGTGGGGATCGGCGCGGACTTGCCCACGTAGTCGCGGATGGTGCTGGTGCGTGGTGTGTGTCCATTTTCGCGGATGTTGGCAGCGCGGGAGTGCTTTCGGCGCTTGTGGCTTCGCGAGATCGAGGGGAGAGGTTTCTTCCCGTCCTGCAGATCGTCGAACGCGGTCCGGCGTGGTTTTGGAGCAGGTGAGGCCTTGATATCGTCGACGGCGTCAAAAGGGTCAAGTGGCGGGGCAGGCCGCTCCAGCGGTGGGTCGTCCGGGGATTCCTGGGCTTCCTCTTGATCATATTCCCCGCGCCCTTCGCCGCGAATCGCTTCCGCAAGCAGGGGCGCGAAGTCGAAGGCTTCTGCGCGAAGGGCGGTTATGGTGGAGAAAGGCGAAAATTCGTTCCCCGAGCGTGTCTAGCTAAGATTTGAGGTAGGGAGGGTAAAGAGGAAATATATCCGAACCTTTCTGGCCAATGGTAGCCAGAGCATCGCGAGATCTGCGAAAAAAAAACGCGTCAGAGGTCGAGTGGCACAAGGCTGCTCTGCTGCATCCAGCTCTCTACGGGGTCCCTGGTTTGAGTCCAAACCGAGAGAGCCAGGTACATGTGAGCAGCCAAAATTACAGCACTTACAGAGAGAAACCAATGGATGGGCAACGGAGGCGAAGGAGGAAAGAGTAGAGGTGTGTGTACACACGTGACTAAAATCACGCAAACGTGACAGCTCGTGCCACGACGCGAACCGCGTGTGTCACACAGTGACATATACCATTCCCTAGTAGCGTGTTTTTCCTTTCCAATGGCCCCGCTCACTGCCGCCGCCCGCGCCGCCCATGCAGCTAATAGGAAGGCCTCTACTTCCTCTTCTTCTCATCTCAAAATTGGCAGCTCCCATCGCAACTCATCAGGTCGCATCGTGAAGACTCACTGGGAAAAGCTTATCCCAAAGGGACATTCTTCTCCTCAAACAGTTCGAAGATGCAGAGAAGGCGGATTGCCTCAGGAGTAAGTTTTAAATTAAGCCATCTTCATCTCACTAAAAATCCCTTAGATATGAGTGAGAATGAACGCCGGCTGCACAACGCCCTTCGCGATGTCCCAGACACGCTCAACGACAATGACATGGGAGGTGAATGGGCCTACGAAGACGATGTACTCCATGGACGAGTCGCTGCAGATATCAGCCACGCCGGAGAAGCCATGACAGAGGAAGACATTGAACTCACTGATGAAAGCCTGCTGGAACATTTGCGCGAGCATCATAAGTGTGTTGTGTCTCATTGTGTCTCTGAAAATCTTACTTACTCTGAATTCAGCAAGCTATTTGGACGCTACCGAGACCCGCGTACTCGACGGGATCGCACACAGATCCTGGTCGATGCGTTTGCATCCCAGATGCAGCATATGGCTGACGCGTACCTTACCTGGTCTCTTGCTACTGGCGACGAGGGACTTGCCAATGTGTATCTATTCCTCATCCTACCTGGAACAGCGTGTTTATTTCTTCGACGCCCGCGCTCAGTTAGCAACCCGATCCTTACTGGGATGGCTGCAACGATACGCACAGCCACAGCCTTGAGCAGCAGATTCTGAGCGCTCAGCTGATCCGCAGACCACCTGCAGCATCTACTAATCTACCCCAGAATTGACTCGGAAATGAATCCTAGCATCCTCCTACTCTCAAGTAGTCCTTGCGTAGTGACGCGACGACATCTAAGCAAAGCCAAAATAAAACAATCTAATTACTTACGGAGCGACACGTCTTTTGGCGCATCTCCTGCTGCTGAATCATTTCTGTATTGCAGCCCTTTCCTGTCGGAATTCAACAGAGGCACCCGCAGTGCTCTCTGTTCATAGTCGGTCAATAAATGAGGTTCGTTCTGTTTCACAGGCACCGAGAGTGCCCGAGGAGGGTGCCCCGTTCCACACTAAATACTGATTTGAGTTTGCAGGTTGCAGGTAAAGGTACGGCTCCACTTTCCTCAATCTCGATTCGGGGTAAGAAGATTCAATATTCTAGATGCCTGCAGGACTCCCTGACTGCTTGCGAACAGTACGTCTGTCCGCGTTCATTTTCATACTCCCTGAACACGGCTCTGTCTCCATGTTAACGTTCAACGTTCACTACTTAACGATGTACCTTTGTATTGATCTCTGCTCTAATAGCTTCCTGTAATTCATATGAAACCAAAAAAAAAAAAACTGATCGTGTCCTTCAGACCGCGGGTGGAATCGAACCACCACCTCCGAGAATACATTGACGGTTCGCTACTACGAGAACTCGGTGACCTAACCAAGGATCCACACGGTCTTGTAGAGCTTTAATATCTCATCAAAGGTTGAGATATGCTGTAGATCGAGTGGGGAAAATGGTGCCGCAAATCACAACATCGAGAGGATTAAAGAATGCACTTTGTATGCATGAGAAATAGCGGCCTGTAGAAAGAATATAAGCGGCTACTCCGAATCGCTCGTAAGTACGTTGCTTACATTTTGGTATTGCAGCCCTTTCCTGTCGGAATGCAACGGAGGCACCCGAAGTGCCCTCTTTCATAGCCAACCGATAAGTGAGGTTAGTTCTGTCCACAGACACCGAGAGTGTACCTGGTCCGGTCTGAAGGCAATTCCCGTTCCATACTAAATCGTGATTTCTCAAATATGTCCCCACTTTTCTCAATTTGACTCGGGGTGAGGAGATTAAATATTCCATCTACGTTCATTGCCTACTGACTTATGACCTCCGATGAGGCCCTCGCCCCCGAAGAAATTTCCATTCGGTTGCAGCGAGCAGTTGATGCCTGAATCCGAGGGCCAATCCGCTACGTTGTACGTTCCAGGTGCGCGCATTCGATGTCGTGCCTTGGGGTTCGACAGCTTCAACTTGGGAGTACACTGTTGATTCCTGATGTTGCGCCCAGACAACATTTGTATTGAAAATGAATAAATTGGTTTGGGGCCGCCAACCGGGGCCGCCAATAGGTGGTATCCCGTCTCAATGTTGAGTAATTCATACAAACCCCCAAAAAAACTGATCATGTCCTTTAGACCGCGGGTGGAATCGAACCACCACCTCCGAGAATACATCATCGACATTTCACGAGAACTCGGTGACCTAACCAAGGATCCACGCGGTCTGGTAGAGCTGTAATTATATGTACTTTGTATGCACGAGAAATAGCGGCCTGTAGAAAGAATATAAGTGACTATAACCCGACCAAGGGTCCACACGGTCTTACATTAACTTAATAAAAGCCAGAAGTGGGCAAGTTATATCATTAATTTTTGCATTTCAGCGTGACGGAGAACCGGGTGCGCGAGCTCGGTTGGGGAGATCGATATCTAGAGGTTGAGGATGATGGGCGGGACCGCCGCGTAATGCTACTTACGACATCTTACGACCTCCGCCGACGTGGCTGTGTATGATCGGCCGCGCAAGCGATCCTAATCGGTGCCAACGCCAGCCGCGATCCCGTTCCTCGTACGCCTTCCTCCTTCACTGTGTTTCATCACGGTGGAGCCCCCGCTCTCCTCGAGGCACAAATCAAGATGTCACGGGAGCACCTCTTTTTGTCTGCCTGACGCTTCCTTGCTATTGTCTGCTTTGGTAGAAACGTCGATGGAACTCATCCCGTATCTATTGTCTACGTTCACCTCGCTCGATAAAAGGCTGGCGCACTCGAAGTTTTATGGCCTCCAAGCGTCCACCCGCAGTATTTCTACCCCAAATGGTCCGTCACTGGTTACCCTTCTCCGTTTTCTCGTTTGTCCCGGCCTCATCCATTTCGACCAGCCACTTAGAGCTGTCCGTGTAGAGACCTATGACTCCGACGACGAGGACGTCTATTACTGCCCTAGATGCGACCCCTGCCCAATTTGCGACGCGCCGCCAAAACCCGCCTGCGATGCTCCCCCGGCCTACACCCATCCAGCGGCTGGTGAGTTCGTTCTTCAATCCACATGGACTTCTCCCTCACATTCTCATTTACAGATGGGCGACCAACTCTCTCGGTTCCGATCTCGCTCCCCATCATGATATTCCTTTTTGAGGCCTACTTCCTCGGTGGCTGGCGCCAGCTCGTAATTCCCCACATCCTTGCTATCTTGTGCTGCTATCTATAGCCAGGGCGCTCACCTATCCCTTGTACTGTCAAAATTTACCATACATATTCCACGATATGACCCGCACTTTCTTGCCCCGCCCTTGTATTATCGGTCCTTATCTTGACACGCATCATGTATCATACCAGCCACGACCTTGTACCGTATATTATATACTGCTACTCTTGATTTCTTGTGATTGTGCCTTGTATTTTAATCCTCGTGTGTTTGGAAGCCGCGACGACCTTGTACCCTATCGATGCATATTATATGTGCTACTCTTGATTTCTCGAATTATGCCCTTGTACTTTGATCTTGCCTCGGGGTGCACTTTGATCCAAATCGAGCAGAAAGCAACCCAAATCGAGCTCAAAGGAAACACCCTTTTTAAAGCCCGGCGCAGCTCCTGACGACAACCCTGCTCCGAATCTTGCTTCAGTAACGCTTAGTGGTGTTCACACCGCTCAAGTGCTCAGATCTACATCCATTCTACTAGTGATGGGGAAAAAACACTTTACGTGCAAATGTTCACTGCGTCCCGACGAACATCTCGTTCTCATAACCAAAAAAAACCGAGCACGAGAAGGAGTTGGCCGCATCTCGTAGTCTCAGCAGCCCAACGAGTACGGTAAGAAACCAACCAAGGATATTCGTGTCGAGTTTATTTCTGGCCCTAGCCGACGGATTCAAATGTTAATATCTCGCAAGAAGTGGGGCTAGGTCTGGCTGACTCGGATCTCAGTCTCTCGGAGGCGATGATGGGACTAAATTTGAAAGATTCGGTAAGCACATTACCGCCGTCTGTGAAGCTCAATTGACCCACCATCACAGACGGCTGTGGCTGACATGGCATTAGCGTTGGCTCTGACCGATGACGGCCCAGACGTTACCCAGCAGCCCTCCAAACTTTTTACATCGCGAGCCGAATTTCAAAGGACTCGTGCACCACATAATCCGACTTCTTTTACCCCTATCCCTATCACAGAGGCTGAGCGCAGTATCCAAGCACTCTTGACAAATCCTCCGACCGCTAAGAAGCCTAATAAGTGTGATCGCCGCCCTCTCGAAGTACTAGCCGAGTTGGGGAGGAAATTGGAAGGCGCAAATAAAAACCTCGACATCGAGCAGTCTTTTGATATGGATGACAACGAGCAGACCACACGGATGCGCACAGAAGTGAATGCTGCCTCTGAGGTCGCTCTGTCCGTAGAAAAAACACTCCAACGTGTTCGGGATTGTTCGGAGAAGGAATTGGTAATGAAGGAGTTGAGAGGCCTTGAGTACAAGATCAGCTTCATAGGAGCTTCCCTACCGCCTGAGACGACTCCCCTGCGCTACGATGCTTGTAAGCCTCTTTCGCTCCCGAAAAGCAGCCAACTTACCTGCCTCTTGCAGCGTATATCACCGATAACCCAATCGAACGACTGGATTTGATTGCCCAGGTCATGATTCTCCTCGGAATAGTATGCCATGTCATTATCGGACTTGGCACTGATCCAACAAATTTTGTGCTGCAAACCGTAATGCTGCTCATCAAACTTGTCATGTCGTTGCATTCCTCAAAGACACCGGATGGGAAGGATGCTTATGATGCCCAGCAAAAGGATGTGCTTGAACAACTTCCTTCTAGCCTGTATGTGGCCATGCAGCAGTTCAATATCGATGGGAAAACGGTCCAGTACGCTGTATGCCCCTCCTGCCATCATACACACGCACCGCAAAATACATCCTCTGCAGTCCCATCCTATCCTTCCACCTGCGACAATAGCATCCTTGACAAGTCAGGACGGAGAATATGCGGCACGGAGCTACTCACCACTCGCAATGGTCGGCTGCGGCCGATCAAACCCTTCCTTTACGCATCGTTCATCGACTACTTGGCCCAGATTCTAGCCGACCCCGAAATCGAACGCCTCTGCGATAAAACCTGTGATGATGCTTTTGCATCGTCCAAGAAGCCTCCACCGTCCCATTCGACCAATGTTTTTGACTCCACTTTCCTCCGAGAATTCGAGGGGCCCGTCCCTGGACGGCTGTTTGTTGATCGGGGCGATAAAATGCGGTTGCCATTCACCGTCTTTTTTGATTGCTTCAATCCGAATGGCACCAGGAAGCGCGGCAACCATGACTCCATTGGGATATTTTCCGCCACCTGTCTCCTTTTGCCAGAGGAGATACGATACAAGCCGGAGTATCTCTACAAGTGCATTGTCAACGGCCCAAAAGAACCATCGAACGAAGAGATCAACGGCTATCTTCGGCCTCTTATTGATGACGCCGTAGTTGGTTGGGAGCGCGGTATCCATATCTCGCCTACCGGTGCATCCCCCGGCGGACGAGATGTCGAGATAGCTTTTGTTTTATCCGTAAATGACTTGCCGGCTTCGCGCAAGGTATCGGGTAGTGCCAGCCACAGTTCACACTTTTTTTGCACGGTCTGCTCCTGCTATGGGATCCCAACCATGTATCGTACCGATTTCAATCACCGCGACTGGGGACCGAGGGATGTGAATGAACTACGACGTCAAGCAGAGGCATGGAGAGATGCAACCACATTGAAGGAGCGGGAAGAGATATTTAAAAAGTACGGTGTTCGTTGGTCGGAGATGTGGCGGTTGCCGTACTGGAACCCAACTCGAATGCTGGTCATCGACACTATGCACTGCATCCTGGAAGGGCTCGTCCATTACCATTGTCGCAAGGTTCTTCAGCTTGATGCTGCGGAAACATCCAATGCTGAAAAGCCCACACCGGCCTTCGAACATGATTGGCTTCCCTACGAAGCAGAAAAGGTCCCAAAGGATTATCGCGTTAAAAGCGAAAAGGAATACAAACAGATATTTTCGTTGCAGAGTCTTCTTGTCCTCCCCTTGACGGGTGAGGCAGCTACCATTCAAACTAAAGAGGCGCTTGTGAAGAGGTTGATGGGGAAGAATAAACCCGCCCTTCAATTCCTATGTTGGTCTCTTGGCTTGCCGCTCACCAAAAAGTCGGAGAAGGCGGAATTAGCAGAATTTCTTTCTGAATGGGTGAGCCTGTTCCTACTACATCCGCCCTTTCTTTGTACTCATGTGCCGTCCTCAGAGGTACACAAAGCCACTGGTCTCACCCTCGTATACCTTTCGCCCCAAAACGATTCCCCCAAAAGGCTTGGACTTCGTTCAAGAGGTGATCGCAAAAACCGTTACACCATCTTGGATCAACTCCGTTCCGAAGAATTATGGCTACAGCGATGCCGGTACAATCAAAGCTGATGAGTGGCGCATCTTATCGACTGTATACCTCCCCATTGCGCTCATCCTCATGTGGGGTGATGATACTTCTGGGAAGTATGGTGCACATTTTTTTGCGCTTCTGCAACACAGCATGGCACTGTTTCAAGCCACAACTCTGGTCTGCCGTTACTCTATGACCAGTGAGCGGGCCACCGCGTTTCGTAACTTTTTGAAAGAATGGGTTGACAACTTATACCCGCTTTACCCGCACACTAAATTTGACGAGCGGAGGCCGAACGTCCACGTCTCCTTCCATATCTATGACTTCTTGTTGTTGTTCGGCCCGGTTATCTCGTGGTGGTGCTTTCCGTTTGAACGCCTGATTGGGATGTTGCAAAAAATTAATACCAATGATCATATTGATGGTGAGGATTTTACCGCACCTTATCTTGCTAGAGTTGAAAAGTCCCTAGGCGAATTGGAGGCCACAATCCTCAAATCTTCCATGCGCGGTGCCAACCTTAGACGATGGTTGAACCGGCCGGACTGCCCCCAGGTCATTCTTGAGTTTAAGCGACTCTTTGATCTTGCCTTTACTCGTCGGGAGTTTCGCGACGAGGATGTTCCAAAACCTAGCATTGATCGGGAGCATGCACACTACACATACAAGGGCTTCAACTATTCGCGGGCGTCAACCCATTTGGGCAACAGCCTTGTCCTCTTCTATCCCCAGTCATCATCTTCAGCGACCGCTGGGAGCATTCAACAAATTGAAGTAGCTGGGAACGAAGTCACTTTCCTTATCAAACGCCAAGCTCCTC